TTTTTTTTTTTTTTTTCTGTTTTTGTATTTAGAACAGGTTGTACAGCATGTACAGGATCTCACTGTGGAGACTGGATTTGTAGGGATCCTCCTGTCTACAGCCTCCCAAGAGCTGGAATTACAGGCATGTGCCACCATGTCCAGTCTCAGTCACTGTCTCAGTAAGCCCCTGGGGCCGGCCAGCACAGCAGGCCCAGGGATTGAACTCCTGGCTCCTGTGTCTGCCTAAGCAGGCACTGTAATCTGCTGAGCTACTCGGTTGGCCCTCTATGAAGTATTTAGGGGTAAAAGGCATCATGAAGCAATTTTCTTCCTCATATAGACATAGGTAGGAGACAAATGAAGAGAAAGAGGGAAGAGGAAGAAAAAAAGGAAGAACAAGAGAATGTAAGATGGGCTGGCATTTTTCTTCTTTTTTAACGTGATTACACCAGTAAATACAACCCAGATAAACTCATGAAGACTTTCAGGACCAAAACAGAGCTAAGCTCATTGATTTTCATGTAGTAATTTTACCGCCATTCTACACCAGCTTTTTTGATTAAGAACAACAGAGTCTCTTAGCCTCATAAGTACTCATGTTATATTCTAGGTGATTATTGAAAGGGCTACCTTGTGCATTGTGATTTTAAGCAGCACCCCTGATTTCTAGTCACTGTGGACAAGTAGCATGCCCCTCCCATGAGTGGCCTGCAAAAGTGTTTTTAGATGTTATTTTTTTTTTATTTTAACATTTTAGTGTGTGTGTGTGTGTGTGTGTGTGTGTGTGTGTGTGTGGCCAGCTCAGCCCACCAGGGGGCGCGGCTGGCTGGCATGTGGGGCTGGAGGATTGAACCGCGGTCCCTGTGCTTTGCCAAGCTTGTTCCAAGTAGGTGCTTTAGACCACTGAGCCATCTCTCCAGCCCCGTTTTTAGATGTTATAAAAGGTCTCCTGTGAGACAAAATTCTCCCTGGTAGGGAACCACTAAACTAAACTAGTTCTTCAATGGTGTGTACCAGTTTCATCTCATGGAATACAGGAAAAAATCCTAATCTGGTCTCTACTGCCATAGATGGGTCAGTGCACTAGAAAGAAGGAATAGCTGGCCAAGGGGGAGTGGATCTCAGCATCCTTGCAGTTGGGACTTACTACCAGGATATGTTGATCAGTTATATGATCTAGGGCATCTCTGTTGATCTACTATTAATTCAGTTTTTCTCTTTTGTTTAATGGAGAGAAAAAAGAGTTTTAAGAAAAATGAAATACTTTTTCGTAATTTTAAGCTTTTCTAATCAGTTGATTGGATCCAAACTGTCACCATAATAACAATAAAAAACCAGATACTTAGACAGTCAAAATGAAGCTTACAGGTCAGCTCTGACTTAGGAACAAAATAGCAGGGTCTGTGAGGGGCTGGGTAGAAAGAGAAGCTCAGCAATGCTTACTGGGCAAAAAGTGATTATGGGCTTGTACATGGTACATAAATCTCTTCAGGGTTAGGTTTTCAGTAGTGCTTAATGGTCATCCCCTTCTCTGTATAAAATTATTCCACACTGATATCTCTCACTTATTTCATTCAATAAATACTATTGCACACCTGTTATGCATCAGGCACTAATACCAGTGCTGAAGGAACCAAGTTAAAGATGAAAAATATACTTATTTACTGTACTATAATATTGCCAATTTATCTCAATCCAGCATTATATGCATTTTGAGCACTTGTCAGAAAATGTACTCTTTATAACATTTCCACTGTGCTTTTGCAAGGTATTTCAAATCTCTCCCTGTATAAATTCTGCTGTTCTGACAACAAGAAATCTAGGTCTTTAATGAATTAAAATTTCAAAGAAAACAATGTATGTTCAATAACTTTCTCCTTATATTCTGGTTAGCTAAATAAATAAATAAGCTTTGGGTCACTAAAATTAATACTAAACTGTTTTATGCTATTCAGTGTAGAGTGGTTGACAATTCAAATACAGCGAACCAACAGAAAACACTGCTGGAGCATGAGGTGCAAAGCTCTATTGTGTACTGACTCAGTAAGCCAATGTTATTGAGCAACTTGCAGGTAGCAAGCGCCACATTCTACTCCATTGATTTCTAAAGCAGTACTCACATCACTCCGATTTTTGGCATTTGTCTTTGCCAGAACTATGTCCATGGCATCAGGAATGCTGGTAAACTTGTTTCTGTCTGGAGGCTGACGATATTTCTTTTCACTGATGATTTCTGAAGCCCGCTTATTCTTTTCTGCTTCCAAAGAACCCAGTGGACTCCATCCTATGCCCTTCAGCCACTCCAGGTCAGACTTATACAAATTCTGTGAAAGCACAAAGCAAGCCATCAAAGTCCCATCCTTACCTGGACCCCTTACTGAGGTGATCTTATGTATAACAATCAAGTGTGTTCCAGATCTTCAGTGATAATTCTTCTTTTGAGTTTTTGTTTTTCTATTACGAAATAACCATTAATGTAGACTAGGAATTAATATATAAACTACTGAAGTTAGTAGGTACTGACCTCACTCTGTAGTTCATACACTTTTTTAGCTTGGATAACATCATTCTGGTCGGGCAGGCATGTCCACTGATGTAAGTGGTGCCTGTAGTCCACATCGCTAACCAAGGCCTGGCATTTCTTGGCCAGCACCACACCCAACATGTCCACAGGACTTGTGTACTTGGTTTTCCACTTCTCAAAGTCTTTCTTATACTCTCTTTCACTCTGCATTTTGGCTACGTTCATAGACAATACAAGTTTGGGGTCATCTTGCAAACTCCGGAATCCAATATGGTGTCCAAGCTGCTTCCGGTAGCCTTGTTTATATTTAAACTGAAATTGGAGGAAAGAAGATTCTTTTAGGAACACAAGCAAAGGCCTACTTAAGCTCAGTTTGCTTTAGCTCATATTTATATTCCAAAACAAATAAGAGAAGTACCACCTGGTCTATCTTAGTAAAATACTGTTTTGTTACTTAAGTAACCCCTGGTTAAGCAGAACCTTCCAAACAACCTAGGGAAGCTGAGTGTCAAGAGAGGTCACCATGAGAAGTTAGTTCAACTAGAGGAAGAAACATATGCTTGGAGGTGCTAGGGATTGTGTATAGTGAGTTTAGGACAGCATGTGGGCCTGGGGAGATAGCTCAGTAGAATAAGTGCTTGCCTGGCAAGCGCAGGGTCCTGAGTTCAATGCCCAGTACCACAAAAAAAAAAAAAAAAAAAAAAAAAAAAAGAATTGGTTAGGATAGCATGTAATAAAATCCTTGCTAATTTATTTACATGAATAATGTCATGAAATAATATCATATGCACTGAATGGAAGAAAGACTAAAAAAGTACATGACTTAATGAATAGGCCTGAAACTGTAGATTACTTTATTCAATCGCAGGATTTTTAGAGGTCTGCCATATATCCTACAATCTTGTTTTGCTTGGGATGTCTATCTGTATCAGCCACAAATGGCTTAAACATGTTAATTGAAATAATGAAAAATAAAATTATACAGGAGCTCACCACAATGCCAAATGGGTAAAAATGAATTATGTAAATTTAATAGAATAATAATTAAATCCTACTTGTAGGTTCAAATGTGAAAATAGTATTTGTACTAGAGATAATAATAACAATAAATGTAATGGTGTTTTCTTTGATGTTAGGTGCTAAATACATATTATAGCTTGAGAAATAGTTTATACAGCTTCATGATACCTAGATTCCTATTTATGCATATTAAAAACACTTAGGGATTTTAGTTGACTATTCCCTCAATATGGACAATCTGATAAAATGGCTTATAAAAAAGTAGTTCAAGCTGGGCATGGTGGTATATGCCTGCAATCCCAGGGCAGAAGAGGCTGAGGCAGGAAGATTGTGAGTTCAAGGCCTGTCAGGGCTTTACAGTGAGTTCAAGGCCAGCTTGGACTATATACCAATACCTCATCTCAGAACAAAGAAGTATTACCATAAATTCTATATGGAGTTCATATAAATACCCACCCAAAACTCTTTTACTCTGGTCTTCCAGGCCAACCAAACAACATTAAATCTTGAAAAGTTTAAAATATTTTTTAAAAAAGCAAGATAAACTATTAGTAAAATTATCAGACTCTGGAACTTATAAAACTAAAACCAAAACAAGAAACTAGAAATGTTTCAAGAAAGATGAAGTAGATCCTACTTTTTGATGTTCTAGAACAGCAGCCTAGAATTATCAGTACAGTTTAAGGTTGAAATAAGGAAGCACATGACAATCAGAGGTGGTCCAACAAGGAAAAACCCCTGAATTCTTACATTTGTAGATATTCACATAACCAGACTGCTGGAGAGAGAGGGAAGCTAGGGTGTGGAGTGGAGATTGGGTTAAATAACTTTGTCTTATCTTCTAACTCTAGATTCTATCACTCTAGCTTATTAAATTATATATTCAAAGATAGCTCTAATTCTCTGCACTTTTATAGTTATAAGAACCATTTAAAACCTGAGAAGAAATGCAATTTCTACAATAGTGGGAAAATTCACTTATAGTTAATTTAATTTTAGGGTACATTCTAACCAATAGGCTCAGAAGAAAAGAAATTAAGTGCTATCAAATGTTGCCTTGTTTCCAAATTATTGATGCTATTTCTTCAGTCCCTAAACTGTCTTTAGCACACAATGCTAAATGAAAAATGCGGTTACTTTCTGGGGAACATTCAAGCACCATTATTGCTTTCGGTTTGTCACAACATCGGCTTATTTTATTTTTATTTTTTCCCATAATTTTATTGATAAACAAATAGCAATGAGACAGTTTCAAATCAAATTGGTAGGACAGTTTCAATAATTAACACATTGCATACATTCTTCCTAGTGGTTAATTGCTGTACAAGATGCGGACATGATATCCTATTTACAAACACCATTAGAACAAATCCCTCTATTCATTAAGAGAATGTAACTATATATCTATCCTAACCACTTTGAATGCACAGATACAAAATGGACATTCATCTGTATCCCCTTTTTTTGTTAAGTTCCATTATTTGAATACTATAGGTGTGTAAACTTAGCAAAATATTCTAAAAGAGTCCAGTAGTCCATAATAGTATTGGGTCTTCCACTTCACTGGCAATGTCAGAAATTGTTGACCTGAGTCCCCTACAGCTCAACATGGCTTTACTTCTTATACTTCATTTTTATACTTTTCTGCTGGATGGTTAAGACTAAGATAAAGCAAGGCCTATGCAACGAGTTGTAACTTTTGGGTCTGATAAGTTCAGTGAAATTCCCTCAGGATTTATCCTGAGATCCTGTACCTCAGATTGTAGAACCTTTCTCAGTGTCAGCATTGGCTTATTTTAATGAGATATTGACCTGCAAGACAGATGGTAAATAATATCATCAAATTAATTTTTCACTATTTCTAGAATGCTGCAATTGAGTTAGAAAGGATCTTTCTTTGTAGCCTTAGAATTTGTTGGCAGGGCCTGTCTTTAGGCACTCTTTCCACTGTGCATATTGAGCCAAATCCTCATTGTTTTGTTTTAAAGCTTCTGATTAAGAGATTGTGCTCCCTAAGATCCTCCGAGGTTTTCTGGTTAATTTTTGGGATCAACTAAATGACATATATGGTCTATGCAGAACATGAAATGCAGTATTTATCAAAATCTAATGACTCAGGGAAGGCCATAGCCAGTTTCCTCCCCAGAGATGTGAAGTACCCTTTGCAGCATAGCTGGATACTGCCTTCTGGAGCACAAGGGTTCTTGTTCTATGAACTTTGGAGCAGACATCCGGCAGAAAGAAGAGTTAGGACCCCTGGTTCCTACATCTAAGAACCTGAACATTTCTGGATTTTCCACTCCCCAAGCTACTTTGCTATAACCTGTAAATTTGAGTGTTGCAGTTTGGATTTGCAATGATTCACATGTTGGAGGGTTGGTCGGTAGTGGGGCAGTATTCAGAGGTGGGGCCTCCACTGCGAGGGTACTGGCTTAGGAGGCACTGATCTCATCAAGTGTGGTTGGTTCTATGCCACAGTGAATTTGGAAGAGGGGCTTTGCTGTAAAATCGTGCCCTCCTTCTCATTCCCTCCCACCGTTCTTCCCTTTCTCTGCCTCCTATGTGCCGTTAGGTGCGCTGCCTCATTTCACCACAAGGTCCCCGCCTTACCACGGTTGCAGAAACAACAGCACCTAGTGGCCATGGATTCTGAAGCCTCTGAGGATCAGGAGCCACAATACAGCTTGCCTCCTTTAGGTTTATTCTAAGGTGTTTTGTCACAGCCATGAACAGCTGACTAACACAGCAAGGAGGGGATGAAATAAAAATAATGAATGGTTCCCAAATATGGCAAGGGCTCTGGAAGCTGATTTATTATCTGACATTTTGACTTTTTACACAAAAGGCCAGGAGAGATCAGAAAAATCCATTTCAGACAAAGTAAGAACAAGCTGAAATCTCTGGTTCCTTTGTAACATCTTGAAACCCAGCACCTTAGTGCAATGGATCTTAGGGGTTTGGGCTGAGATCCACTAGCTGGCACCCCTGTTGATGTAATCTGGGAAGCCCCTTTTGATGTGCAAATAGGGAGAAAGAAGAATGTATTCTGGATAAGTGAAGGGAGTTGCAGACAAAGGGAACAACAAAAGTAAAGTTTATCTATAAAAGTAGTTTCCAACATTAAATCACCTGATTCAGATAAAATTATCTTTATACAACTCAAACCAGTACTTACATCACTAGCGATGTCCCTTGATGTTTTGGCCAGCTGCACAGAAATTGCATCCACTGGGAGGTCATAGCCTTTCTTCAAAGCTTCTTCCCACCCAAGTTTATAGAGTTTCTAAAAATTTAAGAAATTCATTAGCATTCTTCCTTCTATACTAAAAAGCATGATGAATTAATTATTAAGCAAAAGTTTAAGCAGAAAGCAGATATCAGGTTCTAACATCATCTAGCCTATCTCTAAAGATATGGATGCAAACAATACAGGTGTTGTGGTAGCTTAGGAAAGTTCTGACAGCATCATGTGACCAGCTTCATATTTTATTTTTTGGTTCTGAGACCACCCTTGTCCCACCCTTGACCATAGTCTTTACTGTTCAGCACCAATGTGGTCATATCAGGTATATCAGTTACCTGTTCACAGCTGCTTGTTAACTGTGATCTTAATAAACACTAACACAATAATCTATCTAAGTGATTCTATTTAGCTAAAAGATGAAAGTGAGTTAGCTTCTCTGAGTTAAAACTAGTAGTAACAAAAAAGCAAATTGACATCATGTATCCTCCCTAAGCCAGGAACTAAGCTCAGAGCCTTACATGAAATTTCTCATTTGACCCATATGACAACCCAATGTCATAGGCAATTTTATGGTCTCAGTTTTAGGAATGAGCAAACTGATGTTTAGACATGTAGAAAATTTGCCCACAATATGCAAATTTTAACTGACAAAGCCAAAATTCATACCAAGTCTGTTTGATATAATTTTTTTGTTGATTCAGTATTTGTTGATTTCCTGCTTCGTACCAAGCACAATGAGCATAGAGATCAACAAAACAGATGTAGTCAGTATCTGCCTCTTTGGACCACGCAGCCCTAGCCAAAGCCTTCTGCAGTCTCCCTAGGCTACTCATTCACTTCCATTTACTATTAAACCATTTTATAAGTTTTATAAGCTTTATGACAAAACACAAAAGTAGTATTTGTATACTTTTACCTGACTATAGAGTGTTCGGTTCTGCTTGGCTTGGAGAATATCTGGTGTATCAGGCATCACATGAATCTTGGTCTTATCCTTATTCCAATCAACAGTGTATAAGTGCTAGAAAGTAGGGGGAAAAAGAGATACTTGAAGTATGAATAACTGTTTTGGAGAAACAAGGAAAAATAAATATACACGGTACTTAAATATACTCAATATGAAATAGTAAATAATAAAATAAGATATGATTCAGAAGAAATGTTTAAAAATACAAACTCAGATTTAAAAAATATTGTTTCAAGTATTTTTCATCAGCTAGAATTCATTGAAAGTAGTTCAGATGTAATCATTAAAAATTCAAAGTGATTTCTACCCCAACTAGAAGGGTAAGGGGAGGAAGTACAGGAGATGAACTTTAGAAAATGGTATGTGGGATGCCCCCAAAGTGTTTGCCTCTGCCTAGAAGTGATGGGCCTGGGCCAAATTTCCCAAAGACCAGAGCCTGCTAGCCTTCCCTCATGGCAGAGCTGCACAAGTGGCAAGCCCCTACCTTGTTCATGGTATGCGCGTTCTGCTTTGCAAGCACCATGTCCATGGAATCATTCAGCTTCTTAAACTGGAAGTTGCTAGGATGCTGGCGATATTTCTGATCACTGGCATATTCTGTGGCTTTCTTGGCCTTCTCCACTTCTAGGGAACCAGCTGGACTCCAGCCAAGGCCTTTGTACCATTCATTGTAGTCTTGTTTATATTCATTCTAGAAAGAGAAAATAATGCAAACTCTGCCTCCTCAGTGTAAACACAAGATTAGGGCATGTAGGACTGTGATCCCCCTTCTCATGCTAGAAGCTCAACTGTATCACCTAGATAGAAGAAAGCCTTACGTTACTCTGTATATGATTCATGTTCCTGGTCAGCTCGATGTTCATCGCATCAGGCAGGAGGATGTACTTGTGGATCAGGTGCTTGTAGTTAGTGTTGGTGATGTTAGCTTGGGCATCCTTTGCAGCGGTGACACTGAGCATGTCAGCAGGGGTGTGGTAGCTGGTCTTTGTCTTCTCGTAGTTTTTCTTGTATTCTCGATCAGATTGCATCTTAGCCACTTGCATGGAATGGACTAGTTTGGGATCATCCTCAAGGCTGCGGAAGCCGACCATTTTTCCTCTCTCCTTTTCATAATTGTACTTATATTTATACTGTGAAGGAAATATGAGTATGTATAAGCAATAATTCACTAAAAATGATTCTTATATAGAGCACTACAGTGTACAAACACATTTTGGACATTTATCTTTGTTACTTGCTTCTTAAAATTATACCGCGTAAGGTAAATACCAAAATTCTATTATTGCATCCATGTAATAGGTGAATACAATCTGAAATCAGAGAGGTGTATGATTTGCTCAAGTGAATAAGGATTAGAACCCAGATCTTATGATGCTGCACTGTGCTCACTAAGTTATGCACAGTATGTTATAAAAATAAGAATGCAGAAAATAACAGATGATCCAAGTGGTTTAATACTACTCTGAGAAATCAGTGATCCAGTCATGTGTTGATGAGAATAGGTTCAACTATGAAACACACAGTATAATTTTAGGGCAGCTTTATTTATGTTTGTGGAACTCAGTTACTTTTAAGAATCTCTAAACTGGTGTAATATGGAAGAAATTTTTATTATTTAGCACCTCAAACTCTATTGAGGGGAGATTATAACCCACAGAAAATTTCTCATTCTGCCTCTCTCCTCATGAAATAGGAGCCAGAAAAGACAAATTCAGTGTCATGGAGTGAGAATGTGGGATTCTCAGGATAGTGAAGGGGCCATGGAAGTGCTATATAGGTTGGGATAGTGAAGAACAGACATGGAAGAGGAAATTGCAAGTGGGAGGAGCTAGGAAGGCGTGTATTGAAGAATGCTCCTTCCATTACCCCGTCATTAAATGCTCACTGGGATCGGATTTCCGGTGGAAACAACCAAGTAAATGAGCTCACTTTCTTATAGGAGACATATTGTGACAATGTTATACTGACATACTAGCTTTCTCCTGGGTGGGGTAAAGGCACTGATTTGTAGTGTTTGACAATTGCTGTAGTATAAATTATCTACCACAGCTGATGTTAAGGTAGAAATGGCTTAACAGCTGGCTTTCAAAATTTTTGATTAGATAAAAATTACTGTCACAAGCCCAAAGGATGAGCAACTCCAGCTCAATGCTGTATGAGACATTTTGTTAGGAAGTCAAATTCCAAGAGGCAGAGACAAGAACGACATAAGTCTTTCACCAAGAAGAGTTTTCTACAAGCCATAGCCTTGGTGACAGAACTCAAGGAAGTTCACCTAGACCTCCTGAGGCAGGGAGCTAACACCTATGGAGTCATGACATAGCATTGTGGTGTTTTTCACAATGCCAGGGAAAACACACAAACAAGAGTAAAGACATACACAGGACCCAGTGAGGTTACTGTCAACAGGAGCACTTTCCTCCCTCATTTTTGACGGACTCAGTGTTTCCAGAATTCAGTTCTTCCTATTCTAGTTGACTAGAAACTTGCAGTGTGGTCACTGCTTGCCTGCACACTTACGTCACTTGCGATGTCCCGTGAGGCCTTGGCAGCTTTGATAGGAATTGCATCTGTCCTGAGATCGTAACCTTTCTTTTTAGACTCTTCCAAAGAAAGCTTGTAGAGTTTCTGTAAAGACAAGCAAAGGCAATGGTTTTCCTCTACATAGGAAAGCCTGCATTTACTCCGGAAGAGTAAACTAGCACTGTGACATTATTTTTTATTTTAGGCAGAAGGCTTTTTGGTAGTTCAGGGGCTTAATGTTCTCATAAGCACCATAACTGTGCTTGGAAAAAATGTACAGATTTAAATATCAAGCAGCCACCAGCAAAAAAAGTTTGATCTCTACCAAGACTGTAAATATACACTAAGGGTATGAAGTAGATTCTTATTGAGTACTTTCTCAAATAAAAGTTTAAGGAAAACTAAAGTATAGCCATCTTCATTTGTCAAAAGAAAACTTCACTAAATTATAACAGGCTCTGGTTTTGTTTTTTTTTTGTTTTTTTTTGTTTTTTTTTTCAGAACCAGGGATTGAACTCAGGCCCTTGCACTTGCCAGACAAGTGCTTATTCTACTGAGCCATCTCCCTGGCCCCTATAACAGGCTCTGTAAAGTATAAAAATATGTAGATTCTATAATTTTGAGAAGTCAGCGATTCCAAATTGCCATGGAATTCAAACCAAGAAGAGGATCAGAGAATTTCCTAGCAATTATGGCCAGGAAGAACAAGAAATGAAATAAAACAGCAAGGCATTTGCTAATGAGTGTTCCACATTTCTTGTTTTAGAGCTTGCCTTAATGTCTTCAAACTGTTTATCTTCCCTTTCCATTTAAGCCCTTCGTTAGGATCATATCAGAAGTGTGCAGGAAGGGCTCTCTGCCAGTGTGTCCTAGGACTGTCTCTTTCTTTTCCTTCTCTTCTGGCTGCAAGCCCTTCTTCTCCTTGCAAGCCTCTTAGTTTGATGAATACTTGCCCCACAAGAAAACCCAATCACTCTTCAAATTCCTCACTGCTTGTCCCAATCTCAATCAAAACTGCTTGTCCCAATCTCAATCAAAAGGCCCAACTCCGGGGGCCAGGGAGATGGCTCAGTAGAGTGAGCGCTTGCCTGGCAAGCTCAAGGGCCTGAGTTCAATCTCTGATTCTGGCAAAAAAAAAAGAAAAGAAAAAAAGGAAGGAAGGAAGGAAGGAAGGAGGAAAGAAAGAAAGAAAGAAAGAAAGAAAGAAAGAAAGAAAGAAAGAAAGAAAGAAAGAAAAATATGGCCCAACTCTTAGCAGAGAGAGATTAGAAAGGGAACAATTCTCATTTGTAGATTCCACTATAATTTTTAAACATTTGCATTTATAATTGAAAGAGACATTGATTAGTTAAATTTGTGTTTACTAGTTCAAACAAGCTGGGGAGAAAGATGCCAACAGGGAAACTGTACTTACATTACTCATGTTGATTGCATTTGCCTTTGCCAAAATAATCTCAGGGATGTCAGGCATGATGTGGACTTTGGTCTTGTCAGCTTCCCAGGCTTGTTTGTAGAGGTGCTGGGGGAAAAATGTAGGTAGTCTTTTAAATCTTCAAAGGAGCTGTTTTCAGGCACTCTGATGGTTCAGTGTCAGGTACTTTTTCTCATCCTCACCTTAGACAAATGGGACTGACTCATTTCAAAGAAAGGTTCCCTATTTATTTTGTTATGTTGGTGAGATAGGAGGATTCGCTGGACATTGGAGGGGGCACTAATTGGTAATTATTGCTCGTTTTAAATACTAAGACCCTTTTCCCAACTAAAGTAAACCGCAGATATGATCCCTCTTAACTGATTCTCTTTGATGTGCATAAAGTACTACATTATTGAAAGACTTACTTCATTCATAATTTTTGCATTATTCTGGGCCAAAACCATGTTCATTGAGTCCATCAGTGTGGAGTACTTCAAAGTGTCTGGGTGCTGCCGATACTTCTTTTCACTAATGATCTCCATGGCTCTCTTGTTCTTCTCAGCTTCCAAGGAGTCCAGAGGGAGCCAGCCAATGCCCTTCATGAAGTCAGCATAATCAGCTTTGTACTGATTCTGCCAAAAGGGAAAACATTCACTATTGAGAGGAAATGAAAACTTCAGTTTTCAACTAATAGCATATTGAAATTCAAATATTTTCTATATTTTTTTGCATGGAAAATTAAAAATACACAGAAATGTCTTTGTGGTCTGTTTTTCTTAATGCCTTCATAAAGAAAAAGTGCTAGAAATACCTGAAAGACTAATCTGCCATGTGACTAGGCAAAGTTGACGATGCTGATCTCTCCCATAGGAGCTTCTAAGTTCCCTTGGAGCTTTTGGAAGCCCTGTTTCTCTCCCTATGTAAATCTGATCGCCTCCTACCATTACCCTTCTCCTGGGCACAACAGAAACCTCAGTGGGACTTGGTGCAAATTTCTATCTTCTCCTCAGCTCTGCCCTTTCTCTCCACCACTGTACCATAGTTACTTTCATTAGGCACTGATGCACCACCCCAGCAAACATTAGCTCAATTTCACATCCCCAAAGAGAAATGTAGGCTTGACTCAGTGGGGTCTGCTTTTGGTTGGTAATTTAAGTTCACTTCCCCCAGCACCAAGTCGCCTCTGCAGCTGTATTCATGCCCAAGCCTGTCTCAGTCATGAGCTCCTCAATATTTGTTCAATCAGATAGGCAACAGCAAAGATAGAAGCGGTGAGAAGGAAGCTCACTGGGAGTGGGGAGCCGGAGCTTTGGAGCTTCCTCACTGCTGTTCCTGTCAGGAGCCTTAGTGCATTTGATCCCCTTTGTTAGGCTTATTTTCCTCAGTACATTCATCTGGAAACCAAGTCTCATTTGCTCTGTTGCTGTATTCAAAAGCCCATAGAAACTAAAGTAGGAAGTAAGACTTTAGTTTCTTGAGTTGTTCTGCTTTCATTAAAAGAGTTAAATTCTATCTAGGGCAACAAGCAGAACACCACAATCAGGAAACTGCCCATGAATTTTTTTTCAAAATTTTAAGAATCATTGATGATTTGCTTAAATGCTGTGGCTGTCACATACATCACTTTGGATCTGCATCATATTCTTGGCCAATTCGAAGCTCATAGCATCAGGAAGCATGTTGTAGGTGTGAATTATGTTCCTGTAATTGGCATTAGTAGCCACTTCCTGAGACTTCTTTGCTGCCACCACGCTGACCATGTCCACTGGGGTGTGGAATGAGGTCTTGGATTTCTCATATCCCTTCTTGTATTCCCGATCTGACTGCATCTTGGCCACTTGCATGAAATGCACCAACTTGGGGTCATCTTCTAGGCTCCGGAAGCCAATGTGTTTCCCCTTGGCTTGTTCATAGGCTTGCTTGTATTTGTACTGTGAAAAGAAAAAAACCCACAACCATAGAAATGGATGAAAATGAACAAATACCATTCACTAGGTGTGATTGGCTTTGGCACCTTATATTTCAGAGCTCCTCTAGAATTAGGCTGGGAAGGGTCACCAGGGCGGGGCAAAAAAGGCTTTATCCTTCAAATTTTGTCCTGTATTTGAGTTGTGGAAAGAAAATAATCTCAGAGCTAAATAGACATAAAAAATAAATTGGCAGAAGGTGATGGAGGAAGCAGTTCTTTCTACTCAAATATGTAAGCACAGAAGAGGGTGTAGGCATGACTGCTGATAGTGCCTCTTTAATGTGAATGAAGAGTCTGGTTGTGGTCCCCTGGGCAAAATGTGGAGATGGCATCCTTCCATTTGTGTGGAAGTATTCATAAATGATTTCAAAACTCAAAAATCTTCTTACTAAAACAAAACCCAGTCACTTTTTACAATGAATAATGAAAAAATGATTAACGGTACTTGAACTTGATTAGAGAGCAAAGGGAGGTATCTTGTGGGTTATGTGACCTGATGTCCCCCAGACTGATTGAAACTGACCCCAGCCCCTGAATACACATAAGCCGGGCTCATTTGCTGTCCTTCATACAGCCTAAAGAAGGGCTAGGTGACGTGCTTACATCGCTGGCGATGTCTCTAGAGGCTCTTGCAGCCTTTATTGAGATGGCATCAGGCCTTAGGTCATAGCCTTTCTTCTTTTCTTCTTCCCAGCCAGCTTTGTACAGTTTCTAGGTAATGAGACAGAAATCAAATAACATCTTATTACTTGGGTTTGAATGGGGACCCTGATTCCAAAGTGGCTGTCATGTAGAAGCTAGACATTTCCTAAGTATTCTTTTCCTCCACCCGTCCGACCCCATTTTTTGTTGTTGATCTGCTTACATCACTCATGGTGATTTGGTTTACTCTGGAGAGTAAAATGTCTGGAGTATCTGGCATGACGTGAATGGTCATCTTATCTTTGTTCCATTTTTCAGTGTAGCGTTTCTACAAAAAGAAAGAGATGGGGGGTGGTTAGGCAGAGCAAGTTTGCAGTCATGCTAACAAGAAAAAGAGAATCACATCTCCATGGTGGAAGAGGTTAAACTTGACACTAGAAAATGGATGAAACAGGACCATCTAGGGACAACAAATATACAAGGAGAATGATAATCAAGAAGGGAGCCCTCTCCATCGAAACAAAACTTGCTCTTTTGCCTTCACTGCATTACTGTGTGGCCCTGTATAGTTATGTTGTATGCTCAGTGTGGTGTGCAGAGAGATACACCAGAAGAGAGAAGGTGCCACACCCGCTGGAACTCCCACCGCCGCTACCATCAACAAGGCCTCAGAAAGAAAAGAAAGCTGAAGAGGTCTGCAGCCAGTGCCAGGCTCACTGGCCGGAGCAGCCTGAGGGCCTGGCGGGGCCGCGGGTGGGCTTTACCTTGTCCATATTCAGTTTGTTGCTTTTGTTCAGCGCCTGCTCCATTGTGTCCATAGCATAGGTGAACTTCAGCTTCTCGGGGTGCTGGCGATATTTCTTTTCACTCAAAATCTCTCCTGCTTTCTTTGCCTTCTCCACCTCCAGGGACTCTATGGGCACCCAGCCAATCCCTTTCATCCAGTTTGTGAAGTCAGATTTGTAGAGATTCTTTAGAAGAGAGGAATTTTCATTTCAGAAAGAGGCAAGGCTTGAGTTTCTTTGGCTACATGACTTATTATCAAGGAGAAAAGAAGGGAGAGTGCAGAAGGGAGGAATAGAAAGCCTGACTTGTACTCTCTGTGGGCTTTTAGAAAAATTATGATTAAGAAAATGATTGTATACATGGTTTTAGACAGAATCCTGACTTAACACTTCCTTTAAAAATTGATGTTTATTTATTTGTGTGTTTATTTGATTTATTTATTTTTGAGAGAGGGTCTCACTATTGCAGTTCAGGCTGGCCTTGAGCTCCCTGTGTAGCTAGGCTGGCTTCAACTCAGTGATCCCTCAGCCTCTCGAGTGCTGCGTTACAGTCAGGCAGCACCACGCCCAGCCAAAAAATTGGCTTTCTTTGTTTTTTGGTGCCAAGGACTGAACTCAAGACCTTGTGCTTACCAGATAGGCACTTATTCCACTGAGCTATTTCCCAGTCCATAAACTGGCTTTCTTAAAGAAAAGAAATGAAAGTTAATGAATTTTGCATTAAGAAAGTATCATGTGGCCATCCAGATAGCTCAGTGGATTAGTGTCTGCTTAGGCAGATGCAGGGAGCAGGGTTCAATCCCTGACGTGCTGTGCCAGCCTTGTCCCCAGGGTGCACTGAGACGATGATTAAGACTGGGCAAGGTGGCACATGCCTGTAATCCCATAGCTTTGGAGGCTGAGAACAGGAGAATCATTACGAGTCCAATCTGTGTAGTGAGACCTTGTGGACCCTGTACTAAACACATTAAAAAGAAAGGTATCACATACTTAAGCCTTTGAAATTTTCATACAATGCACCATATGCTCCCAAGTTTAAAATATATGCACATTAAATTCACATGTGGTTCCAAATAAATGAAATCCTTAAAACTTAAACTCTGCAGGAGATCTCTGGACAGCAGCGAGTCCAGTCAGGCTGAGAATGGAGTGGGTGGCTCTGGTGCTTCTCTCCCACCTATACAAACAAATGCCTAACTGCTACCAGCCAGGGGCACATACATCACTCTGAATCTGCATAGCGTTCCTGGAGTGTTCCACACCCAGCGCATCAGGCAGCAGCGTGTAGTTGTGGAAGGGCTGTCTGTAGTTGGTGTTGGTAGCAACCTCCTGGGATTTCTTGGCAGCGGTCACGCTGAACATATCCAGCGGCGTGTGGTAGTGGGTCTTGCTGGCTTCGTAGCCTTTCTTGTACTCCCGGTCTGATTGAATCTTGGCCACATTCATGTAGTGAACCAGTTTAGGGTCATCTTGGAGACTGAGAAACCCAATTTGCTTGCCTCTAGCTTTCTCATGAGCCTCTTTGTATTTGCACTATTTGAAGAAAAGGACAGGAATTTGATAGGGTAGAGGTTTGAATGTGGATAAGAAGCAAAAGTCAGGCTCTGTTTGGATCTAGGTAACATCTAGATTTGTTTCGTGTTTTTAAACAAACAATTAGCAAAATAATTGCAACTAATAGCCTTGAAACCTACTCTGAGAGTTATTAAGAAAGGACTAATTTGTAGTTTATATCTAGATTGTTCATAAGTATTTTCTTTAAATATACTTGAAAGTTCCTAAAAAGTTTAATAAATACTTGATGTATATTTTTGATCTTATTTCTCTTCTTTGCATTATTGTACAAAGTATTTCCATAATCACAAGTAATTTCAACAAAATCCTAATATAAAGAATGGAAATTAATGAATTTCTACCCTGTAAAGGTATTTTTATCAATTCATTGAAAAAATAAAACATACATTGGAAAAAACCACAGCTAAGGTCCTGTTATTCATTTTGTAACTCTTCCTGGTTATTCCTATTTCACTAGATATTTTTCTTTGCAGAAATTATAAAATTAAAAGAGCATACTCTTTTTCACAATAGAATTATTTCTTTGTGACAACTGTCCTAAGCTTTTCAAAATATTTAAGACAAGAAATACAAAAATATTATTGGTACTTCAGATATAAGAAAACATTTTAAATAATAATTTCTTTCTTTGTTTCCTTATGTAGTTCCTAGTCTCATACACTTATGAGCAGATTTTAAAAAGACACGGAGAGACCATTTGCTACTTTTAAGCTAGACTTACGTCACTCGCAATGTTCCTTGAGCTTTTGGCAGCGACAATGGGGATGGCATCAGCTCTCAAATCATAGCCTTTAGCAAGAGTTTTCTTCCAGTCTGCTTTATAATGAGCCTTTAGGCAATAAGAAAGATTATTTTGTGACTTTCCATTATTAACAGAAAAATAAAGCATAATGCCAAAATGTTCCTTTAAGAACCTGTTAAAACACATCGCTTTCTAGTAAAAAAATTCACAGAACAAGTCTATTAGTTTGCTGTTTATAAATCATCAGATAAGTACAATTTTAATACACATATTTGTGTATAACAAAATAACAGAAAGGTAATGCTCTGAATGTAAGATAACATGAGATGTTAATTTATTTTTTCACTATATGAAAAAATGTTTTTTCATATGCTTATATGCTATATGTTCAACTTTTCTTTAATAAACACATAATACTTTCGAGACAGCCAGGCATGGAAGTGCACATCTGTAATTCCAGCACTTGGGGGCAGAAACACTGTAGTTCTAGCCTCAACTATGAAGCAACCTTGTCTCCAACAAAAATACTTCTGAGAAAAAAGTGCTTATACTTTTCACAATAAGCATTTGTAGTCAGCTATAAAAGCTAAAATTAAAGATTCAAATGTAGTACCAGTCTGCTGTAATCAATCTCATTTATTATAAAATTACGGGAAATTTTTAAATGAGCTGAAGCATAGAATTGGTTACCAAAAAATGTTCATTTAATGACAAACCAGAGCCTAAACTGTTACGGAAAACAACTGAGCCATCTTTTAAAAAAAATGAACAGTGTTATCCAAAATGTATCAAGATTTTTTTTTTAAAGGAAACAATCCAAATAATCATCACCAATTCCATGTCCAGATTATCCAAAATAGGCTCATTCGTTTTTTAAAGTTTTTTTTTTAATTGGACTCTTTTTACAAGTTTTAGTAAATAACTGAAACAAAAGCGGTATACAGCAATACTTGTTCTTACCACGGGCTACGTATTTCTACCTTTCCTAATTACTTTCTTTCACTTCTTCAAGAACAGCACAGCATTTTCTAGACTGACTTTACCACTCACACATGAGTCACAGCCTGTACTCCCCAAGCATCTAGACTAAGCAGGATCCTAGGGAGGCCTCAGGCCTAGCGCCATGTGACGGGGACATCTGGAGATGCAACGCACTACCCTTCCACTGTTGGGCACAGGAGTCACCATGTAAGGAGGAGAGGAGAGAAGAGGCCCACATAAGCAACCTCAACTAGCTGTGGGCCAGATACTCACGTCGCTCATGTTGATGGCGTTGACCTTGGCTTGAATGAACTGAGGCAGGTCAGGGTCAATTGTGTACTTGTGCTTCACTTTTTCTCCCTCCACCTTGTAGTTCAGCTGCAACCAAAGGAAGAAACGTGCAAAGGTCATCAGCTAACCAAATGTAAGCTTCACCAAGAACCCACTCCTCGGAAAAGTAAGCTGTCATTTGTGACTTCCATCTACAAGGCAAATAAATGCCTACAGGGTGGTGGGTGGGATCTCCGGCTGACACCTTTGTCTTCTCACTCCACCGTGTTCACTGGCCTGTGGTCCAGGTAGGGTGTCAGGCTCTAGGGTATAAAGCGCTGAAAAAGGCAGACTGACTTCCTGATGCCTACAGTCTAGAACAAGCAGACAATAAACGTGATCTGTAAACTGTAGCTAAAATGTGTGTTGAGCTTTAAACGAATAATGATAGCAGAGAACAAGGCTAGTCACAAAGCTCTGTGCAAAGCTAAGACTTACACTCAAACAGAGGAAGGAGAGAGTCCCAGGCAGGAGCACCTGGCCACTCTGAGCAGCGGAGGGCAGTTTGAAACCTGGGCTTGGATGTGCACAGGGCAGCAGGGAAGGTCACAGAGAGCAGGGAGCAGGCCGTGGAGGGGGGGCCTTTTCAGCCAAGTTAGGCGGTTTAGGATTGTAAATCTAAGGAGATGCTTCTAACATGTTTTCCATTTTCAAGGGTGTGATATGATTCCTGGTTTAAGACCTCCTCTCAGGTTGCTGGTTGAGGCCACAGGTTGGAGTCTAGATAACAGACCACTGCTGTCAGCCCCATGACAGAGACAAGGAAACCAGAACTAGGGCTGGTGGCCTTTATTCATTCTTGAATAAAGAATGATAAACTCGAAGCCTTCATAATTAAGTGGATGCCACTTGAAGATATACTTATAAGCGAAATAAACCAGACCCACATATGTAAATATCATATAGTCTCCCTAGTATAAGAACTCAAAAGAAAAAAAAAAAGAACTCAGAAGAATTACAAATAAAAAGGTGTAACAAAATTAAAAGGAAAGGGAGAACTTGAGGATTGGATGAGGAGAGGGCAAGGAGAAAAGTTGGGAAACATGACAGAGGCAAAGTCATACATTTCTACACACAAGATAGGTGAAACAATGATCCTGAGAAACATCAGCAGGTTTTTGAAACTAGTAGTTAATTGGTAGGATTCTCACCCTAACTAACTATATATGCTGATACCTGTGAACCAAGCAACTGCACTGAAGATAGCAATGTGTACTAGAAGGGTCACGCTTGGAATGCTTGTCATTAGGTCTTCTAAATATGTACTTCTTGTCATGACATACCAATTATTACCATACTATCTCTCAAGTAGAAGTTTTTCTTTTTAAATAAAGGGTAATAAATAAAAACACACACACACAAAATGTCACAGGACTGTTCTGCTACAATGCTGTATATGGTTAGATTTCTAAATTTATGTGTAAAAATATGTAAGTGCCTATTCCTATTTTTTGAAATATTTTTTCTTCATATTCCATAGGGACTTAAAGTTTAACATATCAATACTTGATGGAAAATACCTGTTCCATGTTATGCCTAATATATTTGATATTTATACAGATAGGGTAAACCAAACTGCATATGTTGCAGAGTAATAATCAGCTTCTCTTCTGGAGGGTTAACAACCTAAGTTTGCAGAATAAAAATTGGAAAAAGGGAAGAGCTGCAAGGTCAGCCAACATTTTCGCCCTAGCCTTTCAGGTTCAGTGAAGACTCAGGACATAGGAGAACCTACACTATAACATCATGTAACTCAGTTGTGCCCCAAATTTTCTGATCAAGGAGATTATGGGGACACAGAGGAATGCAATTCATGATGTATAGTGTGCCTAAGGAGATTCACCTGGACAGAAAACATTCTCTCTTTCTTTCACAGAGAGCAAATTGGTCAAGCAATGGCTGTGACTCATCCACATGGCTGACACTGACAAAGGATCTACAAAGTGTGGGACAGGAATACAGGATAAATCCTGAGGGTACTTGACTGACCTTATCAGACACAAAAGTTACATTTCTTGTTATATAGGTCTTGCTTTATCTTTGTCTTAACCATCCAGCAGAAAAGTATAAGAACAAGGTATAAAAAGTAAAACAATATTAATATGCTGAGCTATGAAAGGCTCAAGTCAACAACTTCTATGGATAACTCACTACTATTGTGGACTGCTGGACTGTGTTGGATTGTTTTGCTGAATTCATGCACCTATAGTATTTAGATGCCAATGGAATACCCATATCTGACAGGACTAAACAAAAAAAGGGGATACAAAGGAAGGACCATTTTGTATCTGTATATACAGAAGAGTCAGGATAGATATACAGTTACTTTCACTTAATTCAATGAAAAGAAAGATGTGCACTAATAGTGTTTGGACAGGAAATCCTGTCTGCTTCTTGTACTATGGATAACCACTAAGAAGATAATAATGTACAATGTATTAATTATTGAATCTGTCCTATTAATCAGCTTTGAAACTGTCTCATTGAAATTGGTTTCTCAATAAAATAAAAGAAAGAAAAGAAAATTGTACCCCAAATTATACACCCATAGAAAAAAAATAAATAAAAGAATAAAGCACTTAAAACGTCCCCCACTTCTAACCTTGGATTTGAAAACAAAACAAAACAAAAGCCTATCTTCCTTTGCTTTGTCTTTTTCTTATTTCTTTCTGATGGGGGCATTTTAACAGAATTCTGAAATTACAAAATGATGAAAGGCACTAAGCATTGAAATTAGCCTTTGAAAGAAGAAGGCTCCTGGCTCAGAAATGAGACCCAAGATGACTTTAAATAGACTGCTTATCTGTTCCCCTGAGGTCTTATGCTGATTGCCTCTCAAAACATGGAGCTGTTCTACCAGGGGATTAGGATATTGTGCCTTCCCAACTAGAGCTATTACAGCTCCCGCAATAAATAGATTGTTCTGCAGTTCAATAGAGTTGCTGAGGAAAACAGTAGCAATGTCACTTCATGTGTATAATGGGTGGGATCTGTTAATGAACAGTACAGATGACATTTAGAAAATAGAACCAGTCCTAGCCCAGGTCCGGTGAGTGTGCAGAGAGTTTCCTGCTACCCTGCGCCGGCGGGACCAGTCCCAGCCCAGGCGCAGCGTGGGCCGGACCCTCTTCCAGCCCCTCGGGCCGCCCCCCACCACTCC